CTTCGCCAACATTAGGCTTGCTCGTGAGTGTCGATAATCCCGTTCACTAATTTATGGACTCGGGCAAGAGGCTCTTGAATGGCATAAGAATAGGGCATAAAAGGCATTCTCAACCCCTCTTGACCACACACCTTTCAGATTTGTCGCTATTTATCTCCATCCGATGACACCCATTTTGTACAAATGCGTAAACACACAATTGCACACATATTTCATCAGACCGGATCAGCAGGCCTGTCTTGCGGTGCTTTGTCAGGAGTGCTTGGGCACTCAGTTGCTCATAGCCCCATTGCCCAGATACACATCAGCCGGATCGGAACACTTCATTCCCTGGAGGGCCGGTTGCCTCGCGCGGACTCGAGCTCGGACTTGTCGTGAGAAACGATCTCGCAGACGCAGCCAAACGGAGGAGGTCGAAGGCAGACCATCTGACAAGGCAGATGTGCACATGAATGGGACTGAAGAGGTGGACAGGAGGGAGAATGAGGACCCGGCTGGAGAACAAGCCGACGAGAGGGAATTGTTGCGATGGCAAATGGTGAAGCGACTAATTGACCCGGTGAGTGGGACCAATCTATACCTTACTGAATCTCAAACCTTGTTTTCGGGCCCGTAGCATACACTTTAATGGGTCCCAGAATTGTTTCTGCTCCCCGGTAGGGCTAAACTGATGATGACACTTCCTGCCACTCTTTGCTTGGCACAGTTGGCTTATGAGGTGGGCATCACATCCTTGCTCCCAAAGAAGCTCCAGATGGGCTACGGGTGAGTTTCACACAAACTACCGCAACACATTTCAAATTGTCCCATTCTTTGCAGACAAGAAGTGTCATATGACCTTTCCTCGAACCGACTGGAAAGATCGAAGTCATTGTGTGATCCGAAGGTGCTGCAATGGCGATAGGGTTTGTATGTGTGTGGATGAGCAAGGGGGCGTCGGGAAGGGCAGATGGAAAAGGATAACCGAGACGACTTGCTGGGTGACGCTGAGGAGACCCAAGCGGATGTGGGGAGGAGATTTGTACGATGTAGCTGCAATAACGTTGGCCTAGGCCGCATTAGAGGATGAAGGATTGATATATGAATTGTGTACATCCTATTTCGTTTAAGATGATGAAGGACTGGCAGTTGATTTTTCCTGTAATGATATGAGTAGATCTGATGTTCTCCATTGAATTTCACATGGTTTTGCTTTCCCAAATCATAGTCTTGTCCAGGATTGATTGCAGCTTAGACCTCGCATAGGTCACATCAACAGCCCCATCGGGTGTCGAACCGTGACGGTGCAGCATGTGAGCTTGACACGTCAACCACTCGGCCACATTGCCACGAGTGCGATTGGGTCACAGGGCAGATGTTAATTCCAAGGAATGTCACCTTCTATGTTGGGAGTGTCGATGGAGCAAACTTGCATTCGCTATAGCCGTCGACGAAATTACATTTTTTTCGTAAATGAGTAGGTTTTCGAGACTGCCAGTTAATCAGGCCTACGTGGCAATTTGGCGTAGCGGTTAACGTGTCGAGATTACACGCCGAACTGTGAGGTGTTGATAAGACCTATGCGAGGTCGAAACTGCAGTCCACTCGTGATGAGAACACCTTTTAGGAAAGCAATGGTATGTGAAATTCAATGGAAAACTGCAACTCTACTCATATCATTGGGTGGAAAATCAGCTATCAGTCCTTCATCACCTTAAATGAAATAGAATGAACAAAACTTATATATCTGATTTACTGTTTGCGAAAAAAATGAGGGATTGAAAGTTGGATTTTCACGCAAATATATGAGTAGACTTAACGTTTCCATTGAATTTCATTTATCTCTAATCGTAGATATGAAGTCCAAGATGGTCGCAGTCTCCTTTGGCTTTATAGTGTTGGTTCGATCTCGTCTTCGCAACTTATTCGGAGGGTCAGGGAGACCTTGTCAAACGTACCTAGTCCTGCTTTCGCTGTCATAATTTTCGTGCTATCCAACTTCGGCCCATTGACTTGGTATATTTATAAACGTTTCGCCGGTATCGTAGTCGACATCGTCAGCCCAGAGTTACAACTAATCAAAGTGACAAATGAAGACAATCAGTTCTCGACCCTAATTTTTGCTCCATCTTCTAGCGCTTCAACTTTTTCTCTCAACCCCACTTCATATGGTCCACCTACTTATTCACACAATTGTGTGTTCTCGTTAAATCCGCTTGTCATTTGGTCGCTGCTAAACATCATAATCACTTTTTGACCATCTGAAATCTGGTCGCCAAGGAGCCTTCAATTCCCGTCCTCTATTACGCCAAACTCGAGGATTTAGAGCAGATGATGCTCATGTTCATGGCAATGCCAGTGCCATGCCTGAGAATTCTCCTCTCCCAAGGCTTTAAACTCATGCCTCGCTTATTCTCTTTCTTATCTCCACCCTGTGCCCTGTGTTCGGCTTAAGTCATAAGTGCTGGTGTAAAAATACACTCTTTTTTCTTTTCCCCTGAATCGCGAAAATAATTTATTTTTAATTCTTAGAAGGTCTTCTCATGCAGAATGGGCTGGAGTGAACTGAAACGCAGTTTCAACCTCGCCTTTTTCCAAGCAGCACACCCAAAAGAACTCGAGTTTGAATAGTGCAGAGTATACTTTCG